GATACTTCGACGCCCCCCAGCCGCCCCTATCAGCCAGTGAGTCGCGTGTGGTGGGGTACAATGTGAGTACTCTCTCATCTCTTGCCAGCGTACTGTCGAGTGGCGTGAGATGGAAATTGCAGGACTGCGCCTTTACATTATCCCCGTAGACTCGAATTCTTAGAAAGGTTTCCAGAAAAGAAAGATATTAAAAAAATAATAACATAAACAATGCCTAGGGGACCCGTGATGGCAGCGGTCCCTGTGCGGCACAAGGTGAACACCGCACCAGGTGAAAGTGCGCATTAGTCTACTGGCAGGGCGTGGGCCATGTTGGTCATTGGGGTGTTCCATTGAAGTAATTGTAAGTCGAGTAAAAGAGCTTTATTGCTCGTCAGAATACACGAGGCAGTATTAATCAGGGCGGCCCGGAGTTTGAACCGCAAGCTTCTGAAACCAGCGGCAGGCGCGTCCCTCGAAACGAGCTTTAAGCAGCTGCGCTCATTAAGAGCCCTTGGCTTTTGGTCGTTCGCTGAATGTAATGTATTACTTTATATAATTTCTGCAAATATATATATACACACACACATTTACATCTTGTGTATTTTAACTGGATTGCTACCAACACCCGGGTCAGGCATCGACCGCGTGCCAGGGCATATTTATTGGTCCTGTGTCTTGAGTTTGAAATTGGCATTTCTATTACAAAAGAATGAAAACGTCTCGGAAGCCAGAGGGAAAAAAAAACGCAACGTGAAATGTCAACTAAAGTTCTACAAATGCATTTAATTGTTTAATAACTTATTTAAAATATACACACATATATCTAAAGACAAAGATCCCCCGTATAGCCTGAACAGACTGTTGGGGCAAGTGCTGTTAGCGAGTAGTACCGATGATGGCCGACACTGTAGCACACGAGGCGGTGGGTGTCCAACGCCACGCCCGACAGCCTTTGTCTCCCCAGTAGCGATGTTTACACACCGCACCGGGTACTCGTGTGAGGCTGTTTCGACCTCGGGGGAGGCCCAGGACCAGTTCAGGTAATCGCCCCTGGTGTTGGCCGTGAGCGGGAATCGAAATCGGCACGCTGGGTTCGTTGTGCAGCGCGCTAGCCACTACAACACCGCTGCCCACAGTCCACCTGCATATGAAGACATACATACACTTGCATACGCAACCATCCTCCCTGTTGAACTTCTGTCATGTACGAACGTCCTTTGCCAACCGTGATAATCATGCCCAATGTGTCTGCACAGCGCCTTGGGATCTGGCTGCGTGCATATGCCGTGTCTCTGCAATTGTGCATAGATTCGCACAGAGATCCATAGACTCGCACAGAGATCCATAGACTCACACAAATACCCATAGACTCGCACAGAGACCCATAGACTCGCACAGAGACCCATAGACTCGCACAGATACCTGTAGATTCACATATAGACCCATAGACTCGCACGGAGACCTGTAGATTCACATATAGACCCATAGACTGACACAGAGACCTGTAGATTCACATATAGACCCATAGACTTGCACGGAGACCTGTAGATTCACATATATACCCATACACTTGCACAGAGACCCATATACTCGTACCAGAGACCCGTAAGCTCGCACAAAAGCCCACGGACTTGCACAGAAACCAATGGACTCATACAATATACTCAGAAATCAATACAATCGCATAGAACGGTACTGTACCGTAAAATGTTGGACATTTATAGATATTTATTACGACAGCAAAGCACTTTTCACGATCGAAATGGGATGCTGATGTTAAGGCAACCAGTTGGATACTATACTCGTGCGCCTGAAAGTAACTTTAAAGTGTTTTGTCTTCTTAGCTAAGTTTTTTTCGGGAGACACACAAAGGCCCAACGGCACCCAAAACGCCAGGCGGCCAGCCACAGACAGCACGATTAAATTTGTTCATTCATGGGTGTGTTTAATATCGCAGGGTTGTATGAAGTTGAGAAAGAGGGGATGGGAGGGGAATTCCAAAGCAGAGCGGTGCGGGGAAGAAGCAGAACGAGAAGTGAGGTCAACCGGAGTGGTGAGCGCGTGGATGGGTGAGTGGGTGAGTGAGTGGGTGAGTCAGTGAGTGATTGAGTGGGTCAGTGGGTGAGTGAGTGAGTAGGTGAGTCAGTGAGTGGGTGAGTGATTGAGTGGGTCAGTGGGTGAGTGATTGAGTGGGTCAGTGGGTGAGTGAGTGGGTGAGTGATTAGGTGAGTGAGTAGGTGAGTCAGTGAGCAGGTGAGTCAGTGAGTGGGTGAGTCAGTGAGTGGTTGAGTGGGTCAGTGGGTGATTGAGCAGGTGAGTAGGTGAGTCAGTGAGTGGGTGAGTGATTGAGTGGGTCAGTGGGCGAGTGATTGAGTGGGTCAGTGGGTGAGTGAGTGATTAGGTGAGTGAGTAGGTGAGTGAGTGAGTCGGTCAGCGGGTGAGTGATTGAGTGGGCGAGTGGGTGAGCGAGTAGGTAAGTAGGTGAGTCAGTGAGTGGGTGAGTGAGCGCTTGAGTGGGTGCGTGAGTGGATGAGTGAGTGGGCTAGTGTTTGAATGGGTGAGCGAGCGAGTGGGTGAGTGTTTGAATGTGTGGGTGAGTAGTGGTTGTGCACAGTGTGATGGACGAGTCAAAACGGTCCGTGTCTGGTCGTCCTAGTCCTCAACACGGGCTGGGGCAATCATCAAGTGAAGCTCACAGTCGTAGCGGTAAGAAACTAGACGAGGCACGGTATATACAACACTTTACCCCAGCACACTGACCCTGCGGTTCGACTCTGGTGAGCTTAATTTGCGTTGCTGCGTGGACAGAGAGGATGGGGGAGGTTCGTTGTTTCGACTGCCGCGTCGGACATCGATTTAAACCGCAGTGCAGGCTCGGCGTCCCGACCACGCCAGGGCCGTGACAGCGCCTCTCCCCCTGTATGCTGTAGACGCCCCACTACGATAACCGGGATTAATAATAATAATTTCATTACAACTTCATTATACATAATAGAGGGTTTTTTTTAGTTAGATCGCGTAAATATATAAATGTGTCGTCAAACCCACCGCCACCCGACACAGCCAACAAATGAGGTTTGTCACGTAAACAGAACGTGCCAATTCGTCACTAGCACAGCACACCGGTGCGTTGGAGAGTCAAACCACAACATTTATAATTTGAGAACTTAATTATTCTTGATTTGAAGCTTTCGTGACTGCAGGAATCCGTGCTCTTTGGTTCTTTCGGTAAAGTCACGTAGGTAGAAAATTAATAGAGCACGGCGTTTCGATCGCAACACAAGCAACCGTCATCAGGTGAGACGAACACAGCAGGAGAACTGCTGACGCTTGAGCTAATTATACTTTTAATTTCCAAGCCTTTTCACATCTCCCACCGATCTCAACATCGCCACAGCGCACAGGCTCAGCGCTCTCCCCCACTCTGTAAAGGTGCGCTGCGTAGCCTCCGTCGCTTCTATGCACGAACATTCAACTCAGCTGGTGAGAAGAGACGAGGACGTCGTCTGCCATGCGTGGAGCGCTCTTTGCCAGTACACATCGGCTCATCCTGCGACAAGCTGATGAGAGCCAGGAGGTGGAATACGATCCACAGCTCACTTGCTTGAGCACAATGCGGCTTGATAGCGTCGGCGTGGAAAGTCGACGAGGGCTGTAGGGCAAAATGCATTTCATGTATATACGTGGAGACGCGAACATCACGTTAGTTTATGCGCACTTGACTGTTTCGTCTCATCGACACGTTGTGTTTCAGCCATCACACACTGTGGGCCACAACACATGCTCACCCACTCACCCAATCACTCACCCACTCACTCACCCACTCACTCACTTACTCACCCACTCACTCACTCACTCACCCAATCACTCACGCCACTTACTCACCCACTCACTCACTCACTTGTTCACCCACTTACTCATGCAATCACTCACCCACTCACTCACCCACTCACTCACTTACTCACCCACTCACTCACCCACTTACTCACCCACTCACCCACTCACTCACTCACTCACCCACTTACTCACTCACTCACTCACCCAATCACTCACCTACTCACTCACCCACTCACTCACTTACTCACCCACTCACTCACTCACTCACCCAATCACTCACACCACTCACTCGCTCACCAACTCACTCACCCACTCACTCACCCACTCACCAAATCGCTCACCCACTCACTCACTTACCCACTTACTCAATAACTAACTCACTCACGCACTCACTCACCCACTGACCCACCCACTCACTCAACCACGTACTCAATAACTCACTCACCCACCCACTCACCCACCCGCTCACCAAATTGCAGGTAGCCACCTCACCTCTTTATTCTGATTCTTCCCTTGGCACCGCTCCGCTTTGGAATTCCCTCCCCATCATCGCCATCGCCTCTCTCCGCACACAAAAACGCTTACGTTCAATAGCCTCCCGCAATTCGCGACGCGCGTTTACACGCTCATCATCGATTGCAACTTCATGAGTGCCGCGTGTTGCTGGCCGCCCGGCGTTTTAAGCCTCTTGGGGGGGGGGGGGGGAGGAGGCCACTGTGCTCGGCAATTTGTAAAACGAACAAAACGACGACATTCATGAGTTCTACTTGAAATTATTTTAGTCGGCGACACTGCGTTGGCAGAATTTACGAGTGAATCCAATCCGAAAGGGATTCCGTGCAAGCTCGGAATGAGACAATGGGTTCATTAATGTCTGTGTTCGGAATAAGGGTCGTTGCCCGAAACGTCGTCTATCATAGATGTTATTGACATTCTCTTAGTAAAGCCATCGCGTTATTGACGGACGTGTTGAGTTGCACTGTTACACCTCTACAAACGAAGACGTACACACAAAGACAAATATCCCCCAGGTAGTCTTGAGCAGACTCTACGGGGAGTGGGGTGGGAGGGGCGAGCGATGATGGTGGTGGTGGGGGCATTGCACTCATTGTGTTTTTGTGCTGTGGTGTTGTTGTGTCGCTTTGTGCTCATTTATGTCCCGTTGTGACCTCTTCCCCCAGACCTCTCCGTATGAGATCAAAGACTCGAACGGGTCTCTGCACACCGGACTTCCACAGGCCACGGGCTACTATCACTACGACGGGTCGCTAAATCAGTACCAGTATGGCAGGTACACACCGCACACACACACAACACAACAACAACCGCCATTCGCCGCTAAGTGGCGGTGACGTCACCACGACGCTTGTGCCAGGCCATGTGCTCCTTGAGGCCACGTGAAGTGTCGAACGCCCGCTGGCAGGAGGTCACGGGGCAGACCCAGGTGCCACGGGTCGACTGACTAAGATGACTGAGATGACTGGCTGATGCACCACCTGTGCCCCCTACTGTGCCAACCTGCAGTGCATTAGCCACCCGGCGCTCCGCTCGTTGTTGTGAGCATCGCTCCTCCACCCTCCGTTGTTGTTGGAGGGCGACTGCCTCCAAATGCCCAGCAGCGTCCTTCACGAGCCTCCTCCACAGAGGCCGATCTTGACGCCGCTGGTACCAGTCATCGGCAAGTCCACTCAGCTCCACGTCCTTCTGTACCACATCACTCCATCTCTACTCTACCCCGTGCCGCGCCCGTTTAGCCCCCTCGATCCGGCCGAACAAAAGCTGTTTCGGCATGCGGTGGCTGGGCATGCGGGCTACATGACCCAGCCAACGCTGCCTTGCCTGCCGGAGGAGCTCCCGATGGGACGGTGCCCAGATATTTCAAAGATTTGTGAGCTCCTCACACAATCCAGCCTGGTTAAACCCAGGATGGATTGTAGGCAGGCTAGCCGAAATGTTTCTAACCGGCGAAGATGTTCCATTAGGAGGGGTCTACGTTTAGCAAGCGTAGAGAAGGGAGGGAAAGACCGTTTCCGAGAAGACCTGAAGCTTAGTGCGGAGCGACAGACCAGGTAGCTTCCACACAGCGTTACGCAACCGATGAAAAGATATTGCCGCTCGACTGATTCGGAGTGAGATCTCTGCTGTTAAACTGGATCCGGTCATAAGCACACTGCCCAGGTATTGGAAACTCTACCACTCTCTCCACAACTGCCCCATCACCGATTGGGAGTTGTGGGGGCGGAGTGTCCGATGGTACAAAATACCCAGGCAGGTGCTTAGTTTTGGTGGGGCTGATGGGAAGGCCCCATCTCTTAGTGGCACGCGCCAGTCTCAGCAGCAGCGTCTCCAACTCCTCCTCTAATGAGCAGCTATTACCAAATCATCGGCATACATAACGTGGTTGAGCAATAGGGAGCCATAACTTGACCGCACCCGGGCATCGATCAGCCTCCCATTATATCTGTACCAAATGGAGATTCCCCCGGTACAGCTATTGAAGGCTTCATGAACTACGTGGTCAAAATAGATGTTAAATAATGTGGGAGCCAGAGGACATCCCTGTCGCACACACAACACGTACACACCACCACATACACACACACACACCACATACACACATACACACCGCATACACACCACATACACACATACACACCGCTTACACACCACATACACACATACACACCACCACATACACACGTCACATATACACACCGCATACACACACACACCACGTACACACACACACACCGCACACACACACACCACATACACACACACACCACGTACACACACCACATACACACACATACACACACACCACGTACAGACACCACATACACACACACACACACCGCAAACAAACATACACACATCGCATATACACACACACACACCGCATACACACGTCACATATACACACCGCATACACACACATACCACGTACACACACCACGTACACACACACACACCGCACACACACACCACATACATACATACACACCACGTACACACACCACATACACACACACCGCATACAAACCACATACACACATCGCATACACACACCGCATACACACACACCACATACACACACACCACATACACACACACACCAAATGTAACGCCTACATATTGGCACAACACCGATATACAGACCGTACTGACACACACACACGCGCACAGATAAAGACAAAGATGCTCCATATAACCTGCGCAAGTTGTTTGGGAAAGTGCACATTAGGGGGGTGGGAGTGGGTGGCCAACATCAGGCACGGCCGCCTTTGTCTCCCCGGTGCCGATGTTTTAACACTGCCTACCAGATAGATACTCATTTAAGGCTAAGTCGACGCAAGGGAAACCCGGGACCGGTTCAGAAAATGTGCTGCTATTGGTCGCGAGCGGGAATCGAACTCCGGTCGCACGGTCCGTAGCGCACTGCGCTAGCAACTACCACCACACATACCTCCAGATACGCACGCATACTCGTGAATAGGTACACACACACAAAGACAAAGATCCCCCGTATAGCCTTAATACTGGGGCAAGTGCTGCTATCGAAAACCCTATTAAGGTGGAAGGGCCATTGCTATGCACACACATACACACGTACACAATGTAAATGTACATCATCATCATCATACAACTAATGTTGGGCCAAATAAATTGTAGAATATTAAAAAAAAATTATTCACTAACAAGCGTGGTGATGACTACGCGAGAAATTCAGCTACTGTCCCTCTAGCTAAATAAAAATAACGATACACTTACACTTACACACACAGACACTAAACAAAGACACACATAGACGCAAAGACAAAGATCCCCCGTGTAGCCTTAACAGACTCCTGGGGCAAGTGCTGTTAGCGCGGCTATGAAGGCCGGCACGGCACACGAGGGGGTGGGTGGCCAGCACCACGCCCGGCCGCCTTTGTCTCTCCAGTGGCGACGTCAACACGTCGCATCAGTTTCTCAATTGAGGCTGAGTCGACCTAGGAGAGGCCGAGGTCCGAATCAGATAATCGTCACTGGTCCTGGCCGTGAGCCGGAATCAACTCGAGTCGCCGGGCTCGAAGCGCAGCGTAGCGCTAACCGCTGCACCACCGCTCCCTACACACACGCACTTAGACCCACACGAATGCAGACAGGGAGGCTATGGGTTGAATGCATCAGCCACGGATATCTGATCCGATCCTGGGCCTCCCCTAGGTCGACTCAGTCTGAACGAAGAACTCTGTTTCCGCTGTATCAGCACTGGGGAGACAGAGACGACCAGGCGTGGTTTGGTTCACATTTCCCAGACTCTACCAGCGTGGTGAAGTATGTCCATTTGGCACTCGCTCAGTCGCTCACAGCGCCTGTCCTCACAGCCTGCGGGTTGTCAATGGTATATTGGCCAAACATCTGCACGTGAAAATGTGGTCATCGGATTCCTGGGTAAATAAGTCATTAAAATTATTATTATGTTTAACCCAGCAAACCCAAAATATTCGCCAATAAAAATCACGATCTTGAATGAACACGCAAAATGCTGTGTGAAATAGTCGACGTTTCGGGCAATGGCCCATCTTCATAGCACACGAAGAATGGCGATGCGTATTAAGCAGAGCCATTGCTCTGTACGTATCCATGGATGACAGCACACGTCCTATGAAGAAGGGGCATTGCCCGGAACGTCACCTGTTATATATTCATCCCGTGAAGGCCACGGTGTTGGTATGGACGAATGTGTTGCGCTGTTGTTCATTGTACACCACTGCCAACGCAGCAGCAGCAGCAGCAACAGCATCGCCAAATAAGTTGTACAATTCTAATTCAAATCATCGTTATTCTCTGGCCAATGTGTCGTGACGCCTACTGCAAGATCCGCCCGTGCCCGCCCGGTACTCGCCAAGCTTCATTGGCTTCCGTTTGCCGAACGGATTCGTTATGAAGGTCGCACTCGTTGCACACACACACACACGCAAAATACTCGCCACAAGTGTACCACGATACCTCGCTGATCTCGTCAAAATTCATCAACAACGCAGCAGCAGCAGCGGCGGCTTTTGGCTGCTGGGCCATCGAAACAAAGGCGGCGGTCACCGCATCATCGCGCGGCGCTTTTCAGACGCGCTTCTGCGGCCGTCTGGAACGCTCTTCCCTTCCGATGTCAGGAAGCCACTGGGATCTGTGCGCTTTCAAATGTAGACCAGCGGTCGACAGCGCGCGGCTCTTTAAGGACCGCCGTTTCGTGGCGCCGTTCGTTATCGAGGACCGTCACCGCCTCGTGTCCACCGCACGATGCATCGCGGATTTTGAAATATTGAGGTTTTTTTTTCTTTCTTTTTGCTTGACCAAATTCGCAACAAAATGCCTCCTCCTCCTCTTCTTGTTGTTTGGGTTGCGGACCCCTGGTCCAGACTGAAAAACCTCAATTTTCTTCAGAACGATCTCGCCTGTGCGTCTCGTTTGTTGTACATCATACATACACACACACACAACGTACACACAACATGCACACACACAACGTACACACAATATATATACACACACACGCAACGTACACACAACATACACACACACACAACGTACACACAACATACACACACACAACGTACACACAACATACACACACAACGTACACACAACATACACACACACAACGTACACACAACATACACACACACACAACGTACACACAACTCACACACACAACATACACACACACACAACGTACACACAACATACACACACACAACGTACACACAACATACGCACACACACACAACGTACACACAACATACACACAACGTACACACAACATACACACACACACAACGTACACACAACATACACACACACACAACGTACACACAACATACACATACACACACAACGTACACACAACATACACACACACAACGTACACACAACAGACACACGCGCAACGTACACACAACATACACACACACACAACGTACACACAACATACACACACACACAACGTACACACAACATACACACACACACAACGTACACACAACATACACACACACACAACGTACACACAACATACACATACACACACAACCTACACACAACATACACACACACACAACGTACACACAACACACACACACGCAACGTACACACAACATACACACACACACAACGTACACACAACACACACACACGCAACGTACACACAACATACACACACACACAACGTGCACACAATATACACACACACACACAACATACACACACACAACGTGCACACAATATACACACACACAACGTATACACAAC